TGTCCGAACCCATGCCCAAAATGTTGTTGCTGAATATGCCATCAAGCCATACACTGATCAACTAACCAAGTACTTAACCAATCATATCTACACTCATTTCCGTGACTGGCCTGATACCGTCCCAGCTTTTCGAGAATGGTGGTCGGAGATGGCTTGGTCTATGGTCGCGAAGCCCATTAATGATTGTGTAAAGATCCTTTTCCCTCCGACCACCCAATCGGGGTCCCAACTGATTTTGCTGCCGCAACCTATAATGGGGCAACTCGCCTTGGGACCCCTACAACCGAAACGACAACGAAAGACACAGACCGGTGGGGCCAGCGCTTCCCGAAAAAAAGCAAAATTTCCTGAAACGGCCCAGCAAGTGAACTCGTAGGAGAAGCGTAAAGCGAGAGAAGATTACCTAGCCTCACTTCAAGTTGACATGATCCTTTTCCATGAATTCCGAACGCCAGCCGCACAGCGAGCCCACCTCTATAGGGGCAACCATCATGCCCTTTGGCTTGGAAGGCTAACTAGTGAAGCTGGTCATCTTAATGTCGACCTGGGTGAGGTCGGACACACTTTTTCCTAGCTTGTACAAGGTTTTCAAAGGCATAACGTTAGATACTGCACAATTATCAATAAAAACTCTACTTACCGGTTTCCTATAAGTTTGCACATTCACATAAAGGGGCATTAGATATGAAATTGCTTCCTCAGGCATCGGCGGGAAAATAACCTGAGTTGTTTCGAGTGGTTCATATGGGCTCAGAAAAGTCCATTCCTTTTCAGGCACCGGGTCATCCGAGAAATAAGTCCATACTGGTTCTTCATCCATTTGATGGATGTCCAACATCCTTACTGTGAAAGAATGTGTAACCCGATCACGATTCTTCTTAGAGTCCATCAGGTCTTCTCTTTTGGAAGGAACTTGATTTAATCGCAGCAGGTCCCGTACTTCGTTTGGTGAAAAAGTTCCAAATACCATTGGTTCGGACCCGAAATCAATATCCATTTCGGGATCTTTATTGATTTGGTAGCAAAAAAGACACCTAAAACATCTCTTTATTTCTGCAAGAGGGCGTTCATTCTTTGTTTGACTCAGAATCCTAACATTCTGTTTGGGAGCTTCTTTTAATACCTGCTCCTGACGCCTATCATTCGTCTCTTGGTTGAAATTCCCAATATTCTACTTATTCTGACCATTTTTCAGCCTTTTCCCTTGCATAGCTGCATACCTTCGCTTACTGTTCCTAATCTGCATACAATTCATCCCAGGGAACCTTGGTCGATATTGATGGGCAAAGGCTTTCAATTCCGATTCCATCCATCTCCCTTCGGTGGCTGGGGCATGCGCATGGATTTAGGGCGTACGAACGCTCCGTTTTTTACCTCGACTTCAAAGGTATCATCCGAGTGGTCCCATTTTTCGGCCACTCTTGACGGAACCTTCAATATTTTCCTAGACTCGTGTCCTTTTCCTATGTCAATGGTAGCCATAGTAACTTTCAGAAATAGTTGTTGTTCAACCCTTAGAGTGACATACTTGAATCTTCATTCTCGGATAGCCTTTTGTATCTCTTTTCGAAAATGAGTTCACTGACTTATATTAGACGTAAACGAATTATGCTACTTACAGTGTGGTTGCCCTTTGATCTCTTCCTTGGTGGCCAACCTGTCCTTTCGGAATACTGATTTGCCCATCAGCCAACAGTATATCAAAGTATTGTCGGCCTTGGAAGTATTAAAGGTAGGTCCTTGTTGGTCTCTATCCCTGGCGTAGGTTTCAAATTGGAACAGATGTAAGGCTTCCCTTTAATGACTTCAGCAGCAATCTCTTCTATTTCCTTGCAATCAGCTACTTCAGGGGTATACGCGTCTGCCCGCATACCGGGCCACTTGTTGGATTCTTCCTCTCCGTAGGCATAGGATTGGAAAACCTGGCGTGGAAAACGGCTTCCAACCCTTCCAGGTTTGGATCTGTCCGGGTGATAAATTAGCAAACCACGAGAACGTTGCCCTTGTCAGGAAAAGCCCGAACAATTGCAGTTTATCGTATGGATTGTTGCCGACTTCGCCAAGTTGAGCCGTAAAATGGCCCACATGCTCGATAGTATAAAAACCGTCTTCGCCGAAAAGACATGAAAATCTAGAGGCCTAATTCCTCGGGAGGGGGTGTTCATTGACAATCATCTCCGAAAATGGCCTATAATACGCTAGGTGGTTCGCTGTCTGAGGATTCATCCTGAAGTGCACTATAAGAACATCAGCGACATCTTCAGGGTCAAACCTATGCGGTGGGTTTTCGTGTATATATGATGGGATCATGGACTTGTCCTCAAAGACGTTCTTCCCTTAAATAACCCGGCGGAAGGTTTGTTCTTGTTCTTAGTGGAACATTATTGGGATAAGTAAGAGGCGACTTTCCCCTATCCACTCTGCTCGGAACTATGACACTTGGAATTGTGCTCTCGATATAAGATGACCCTGCGAAGTCCGCTTGAAGTAGGGATGCAGACATCGCTGAGGGTGTACGGCCCGTTTGAAGTGTGACCCTTGAAAAATCTTGATCTAGCATGTTTTGGATCAGATTTTGTTGATCGCACAGCATTGTTTGCATGGTGGCTATCTGTTGGTTGTTCAATTACTGAACATAGGCTGTCCATTCGGTGGGTACTTAAGTTGCACCTCCTGTAGATGGGATTGCAGACGGTATGGATGTTGTACTTCCCGCAGACACACTGGAGGTTTGAGAATGAGAACCAGCCATGTGGCTGAGATTTCTCTCGATAATTCGACCAGATCAAAGTCCAATAAAGCTACCTTTGGATGTGCGATTGGCAATCTTGTTTCCACTCCCACTGTGGTCGCCAATTTTTTGGCTCGTGAAATCCAACAAACAAAGTAAAATTCAAATGGAATGATGATAGACCTTTGAATTTGATGGGTTGGCTTGGGATAATATACGAATCCCTAAGCACTAGAGTTGCTAGAATAGAATTTCGAAATCTAAACAGGAAATAGAAAAGAAAACGTTAAAAGGAAACTAGCATCTGCATTTGTTTTGGGTTATTTTTTGTTGTCCCTCTTTTCTCCACATCAGGCCATTTTTTATCCGTTCGCCTGCACCGGTTCCGAATGGTTGAATTCGGTTACGCAATTACAGGGTAACCATCTAACGGTTATACCCCAAACCTCCCATAACCTGCATCGGTTACTTCAAGAAGAGCTTTTCCCCGGCATTTAGATACCGTAACCATTCAGTCAGTGCTTCCTGGCCCTCCAACCATTCAGCCCAAACGAACGACCTATTGGTCTATCACACCTCAATGTCAGTGTCGCCGAATTGCACCGCCAGATTTTGCTATACCTAATTTGGTTATGCCGGCCCATCTTGTCCTAATGGGGCGTTGGACTGAAACCCTAGGCGCCATTTTCCGTAACTCAACACTTATTAACATGTCTTTTATAAATATATAGTTGTTATCGCTCAAAAATCTTTTTTGGGGGCTCGGTGAGTGGAATAGCTCAAAAGTTGGATGGGTTCTTTGGTTTTCTCAAGAAAATATTCGGAACCACATGTCAAGTGGGTCGGAATATCGAAAAAAATATCAATAAGAAAATTTTAGAAGTGCAGTAAGGACGTAGAATGAAAAAAAATGATTATATATAAGGCAATGAAGGAATGTCTGGATTGCCACATGATTGAACTGATCACCTCATGTTGTTAGGTTTTACTCGACGTAACGTTATTGAACCTAGCTAGCTTAATGCTCCTATCTAGGCTTGTTTAGTATATGTTGATGCGTTGTTGGTGGTATTCACTCAATGTGCATGTTGGATTGCTCAACGCCAGAGGACATCTTTCGATGCCGTTGGTCGCTGTGCTCTTGCTTTTGGACTGGCTCTTTATTACTTAGGACTTCGTCTACATAAATTCTTATCGAATCGAGACATTTCAAGGCAAGGGTAACAATGGTATAGTGTTCTTTTTAAAAAACAAACCGCCTAATGTGTCCATCACTTTTTTACGTGTTTTGTATCTCAATAATATTAAAATCTTCTCTTCAATTGAATATTACTATATATTCTTAATATGCCAATTTTCATTATTATTCTTTGTCAGGTTTTTCGATTTTACTTTTATTTACATTTGGTGACTCTATTAGCTTATAAAAATTGTCAATCAAGAGTTGTAATCTTTACAATCAATTTTAAGATTAGTCATATAAAAATAGAAATCAATCATTGTTTTAGACAATATTCAATTGCATGAAACCTTATCATATGATTGTTTGAAAAAATCCAATTAATTTCTTCAACTAAAACAAGTAAAAGGTCGATGAAACAATCAACAATAATAAATTATCATGCAACAATGTAAACAATAATAAGAACTCAAATATATTCAATTTTTCATATCGTGCAATCACATGCATACAATACAATCGAAATTTCATCTTCAATAAACTTAGCTTTAGTTAATAAGCTTTAAAAAATTCTCACACAATATTTGCGATCAACAATAGTCTTAATAAATTCCATTCACAACAAACCTAGCATATCATCATACTGGCGTTCTTACTCTGTTGACAATAGATGAAGATCATGACAACTTATCCCCATGTCTATGTCAAGACAAGCGTAAAAGAATGTCCATGCATTCTATGCAATGGACCTGGGGTAAGTGTATTGGTGGAATACACCCTTGTACACAGGATCACAATCTCAATGGTCCTCACCCTTCATAACAAACTCTGATTTGTTTCTTAGGTTGTTAGATTTCATTAGTGTAGATTGGATTCCCTTGGTATGACTATTATAGATTAGCCTGAAGTATATATAATCTATCTTTCTCTTTTCCATTCAATCAATGAAAACAGATTAATTCCACAAGCCTGTTTTGTGCTATGTTCTTACCTCTTCTTCTGATTTGTGCTATATTCTGTTTCTTGAGTTTTTTCATCATGGTATCAGAGCCATGATTGTTCCTGGTGCCTGATTAGTGAGAATCTAATATGGCTGATCAGAGTCCTAACACCAGCTCACAGAGTACCACAGACCATGGATCTTCTCCAAACCTTACATTGTTTTTGGTTGTTGGAAATCATCCAGGTATGGCTCTTACATCAGTCCATCTGACTGACTCTAATTATCTTTCTTGGAGCATTAATATAGAAACAACCCTAATGGCAAAATCTAAGGTGGGCTGCATAGATGAAACCCTCGTTAAACTTCCTGAAGGAACACCTGAATTCAATCAGTGGCGTGCATGTGATGCTATGATCAGATCCTGGCTTCGCAACTCTATCTCTGCCAACCTGCAAGAAGGCTTCGTTTATGTTAATTCTACTAGGGAGTTATGGCTTCGGGCCAAAGAGAAATTTGGCCAGGCCAATGGAGTATTAATCTACCAGTTGAAAGCTCAAATAGGTGATCTCAAACAGGGAAGTGATATGCTGACAACATATTACACCAAATTGGAGAAATTGGTTGATGAGCTTCGCATAATTGAACCTGGAGCTAAATGTAAGTGCGACAAGTGTAGACATGAAATTGACAAAGTGTTAGCAAGAATTTACGAGAGGGATTACCTCGTTCAATTCTTGACCGGCCTCAATAAAATCTATCAGCCCATCAAGAACCAGATCCTGATGATGGATCCTCTTCCAACAGTCAACAAGGCATTTGCTATGTTACTCCAAGTTGAGAAGCAAAACACTCATATTGTTCCTGTGGATCTTAAGGCCTTTAATGTTGTCTATTAACAAGCTAAGCAAATCACTCAACCTGCTATCAACTTTAAAATAATTGACAAGAAGAAAATGTTCATTGACAAAAGAAGTCAAATATGCGAGTTGTGCAAAAGAAAATGGTATATACAAATGAGACATGCTTCAATATACATGGTGTTTCGGACTGGTTTAGAAAGATGAATGAGAAGAAAAGGACTCAAGTCAATGTTGTTGTTGTTCCAAAATATGATGGAACTCCTTCAGACACTTCTTCAAAGGTTGATTTGCAATTCCTCCTTGCTGAATTGAAGAAGATGATGGCAACCTTAGAGACCCATGTGTCCTTTGCAAACTCAGTGATTGAGTATTCAGGTACTATTCATCAGAATTTTTCCAAAGATATGATCAACAAGTCCTGGTTAGTAGATAGTGGTGCATCATGCCACATATGTATCGATAAGTCTCTATTTCAATCCTTACAACCAATCTCTTCATGTGCAGGAGTCTGTCTTCCTAATGGCACAATATGCCACCCTGAATTTATTGGCTCAGTCTCAATTACCCCAACTCTTGTCCTTCATAATGTCTATTAACTGCCTAAATTCAAATTCAACTTAATTTCTGTGAGTTGCATAGCTAATGATTCTAAACTGACATTGAAATTCTTCCCTAACAAATGTGTTATGCAGGACCAGAGTTCTGAGGAAGTTCTTGGGATTGCTTTGCAGAAGGATCAATTCTATTTACTCATTGGATTCCATCATACTCTCTCCACACCCAAACGTCAATTTGATCAGCTGTGGCACCTCAGGCTAGGACACCCGACTGTTGAAGTCCTCTCTCATCTACCTTTTGATTCTAGTTATAAAACCAAACCTTGTGATGTATACCACAAGGCTAAACAAACTCGTATGTCTTTCAATAAAAGTTACTCCCATGCCACTTCTCATTTCCAGCTTGTCCACATGGATCTTTGGGGTCCATATAGCATTCCCACGTTAAATAATTGCAAATATTTCCTAACAATTGTAGATGATCACACCAGAAATGTATGGACTTTCTTACTCCATTCTAAGGCTAATCTCTTCCAAATCATTGAGGCATTTGTCAAGTATGTTCAAACCCATTTCAATACCACTATCAAATCAATAAGATCTGATAATGGTGTTGAATTCCTCGGTACAAACTCTCAAACTTTCTTCCAGAGTCTCGGCATCCAACACCAACTTACTTGTCCTTACACTCCTCAGCAAAATGGAAGGGTTGAAAGGAAACACAGACATCTTCTCCAAGTAACCAGGTCATTACTCTTCCAAGCCAACTTACCTCAAGAATTTTGGGGGGAAGCCCTCCTATATTCCACATTTATCATAAACAGATTGCCTACCCTAGTTCTCCACTGGAAAACTCCCTTTGAACTTCTATACTGTAAAACCTCTGACTTCTCCTCCATCAAAGTGTTTGGTTGCCTTCGTTATGCTACCAACACTTCCCTTGCTAAAACCAAGCTAGACCGAAGAGCCTTCAAATGCCTCTTCCTAGGAAACTCCTCATCCCAAAAGGCCTAAAAATTGTACAACCTTGATACCTCCACTGTCTTTACCTCTAGGGATTTAGTGTTTTATGAAGATGTATTCCCTTGGGCAAAGCAATCACAAGATTATCAACAAACCTCAGGTTCCTCAGCATTTTCAGGTACTTCTCCTTCTTGTTCTATAAATTCTGATCATGTCCCTGGTTTCTTTAATGCTCCTCAACCTTCTGTTTTCACCTATAATCCCATTGATGAATTTCCTGCTTCCAGCCCAGGTCACACCCATAAATCACCTGCTGCTCACACTTCTCCATCCTGGCAACAGGCCTCTCAGACTCAGAATCCTTTTCTCAACCTGACCACTCTGACCTCTCATCTGCACAAGAACCATTAATCCTTCCCCAACTTTCAAATGCACCACCTCTTAGATCCACTAGAGTTTTTGACAGCCTCCCAGATATCTTCAAGATTATGTTTCCCCCACTATCCATAAGACTGAACATACTATTTAGCATGATGCACTAACTATCATACTGCAGGAACCTACTTCTTATCACCATACTAGTAAGACTGAATTGTGGAGGTAAGCTATGAAAAAGGAGCTTGCTGCTCTTGAAAGAAATCAAACTTGGCATTTGGTTGCTCTACCTCTTGGAAAATGGCTTATCACTTGCAAATGGGTTTATAAGATCAAGACGAATGCTGATGGCTATATTAAAAAATATAAGGCTCGGTTGGTAGCTAGGGGGTTCCTTCAACAGTTTGGGGTGGATTACACTGATTCTTTTGCACCTGTTGCAAAAATGGTAACTGTTAGAGTTCTTTTTGCTATAGCAGCCTCTAAACATTGGAATATCCACCAGTTAGATGTCAACAATGCCTTCCTCCATGGACACTTAGATGAGGAGGTTTATATGACCACCCCAAGGCTACAGTCACCCTCTTAGATTGGTGTGCAAACTGGATAGATCTTTGTATGGTTTCAAACAGGCTCCACACCAGTGGTACAAAGAACTTACATCTAAGCTTATTTCGATTGGTTTCCTTCAATCAGCTCATGATCATTACTTATTCCTCAAGACCCATGGCCATCAATTCACTGCTCTTATTGTCTACGTGGATGATATTCTCTTGCTAGTAATCATCCTTCCACTATCCAGGAGGTTAGGGGCTTTCTTCACTCTGAATTTACTGTGAAGGACTTGGGTGATGTTGATTATTTTCTTGAGCTCCAGATCACCCAAAGTTCACACGGCCTCTACATCTCTCAACAAAAATATCTCCTTGATATTCTCAATGAAGAACATATGCAGGATTGTAATCCCTGCTATACTCCATTACCTCCGGGTGTGAAGATGTCTTCAAATGGAGGAGAACCACTTCAAAACCCTGATCATTGTAGGAGATTGGTTGGTCGCATGCTCTACTTAACCATGTCTCGGCCTGACATCACGTACGTTGTTCAACAGTTGTCTCAATTCATGCATACTCCTACATCTCTCCATCTCAAGATTGCTCACAAATTGCTGAGATATCTTAAGGGCACTCTTCCTTTCCAACTGTTTTTCAAACAAGGTGATTGCTCTTCTCTTTCGGTCTTCTGTGATGCTGACTGGGGTAGTTGTATTATCACAAGAAAATCCACCATTTGTTATTGTATTTTCCTTAGAAATTGTTTGATCTCTTGGCGAACAAATAAGCAATCTACAGTTGCAAAATCCTCGGGTGAAACAGAGTATAGAGCCATTTCTCAAATTGTGACTGATCTTTTGTGGATCTCATACCTCCTTAGGGACTTTTTCAGATACAAATTTCTTGACTTTTCTCTGTTTTTACTGATAACATGTCCGTCATACACATGATCCAAAATCATATTCATCATGAACGCACGAAGCATGTGTATATTGACTGTCATTTTATTCGTGATCACTTCTCCAAAGGATTCATTCAACCAATCTACATACACTCTGTCGTGCAACCTTCTGATTTATTCACAAAATCTCTACCAAGTGCTCATTTCCATTCTCTTAGGTCCAAACTTCACTTGGACTTTCTCCCATTGCAGTTTGTGGGGACTGTTTTGACAATAGATGAAGATCATGGCAGCTTATCCTCATGTCTATGTCAAGACAGGTGTAAAAGAATGTCCATGCATTCTATGACCTGGGGTGGGTGTATTGGTACAGTGCATCCTTATACACAGAATCACAATCTCAGTTGTCCTCACCCTTCATAACAAACTCTGATTTGTTTGTTAGGTTGTTAGATTTTATTAGTGTAGATTTGATTCCCTTGATACGGTTTTTATAGATTAGCCTGGAGTATATATAATCTATGTTTTCTCTAATCAATTCAATCAATGAAAACATATTAATTCCACAGGCCTGTTTTGTGCTCTGTTCTTACATTATCTTCTGATTTGTGCTATATTCTGTATATTCTGTTTCTTGAGTTTTTTCATTGTACTCTAAAATTTCCCAGAACACAGCTCAAACATCTCCAACATTATCTACTAGAAAAAAATAAAAATAAACATATTAAATGTCAAAATCAATTAGTGTTGTCATGAAATAAATGGCTTTTGTGTAAAAATGACCCTTCCTTCTAATAGTGATCTATAAATCAAAAGGCTATAATTAAGTGGCTCATTGTGGTCGCCAAAGATTGAATGAATATAAAGAAATTTATTTTCATTTTTTTCTAAAAACAAAAACAAAAAATGAATTGGCATGCAATAATAATCCTATAATAAAAACCCATTTCCTGACACTATTATAGTATTATTAAAGGTCACATAGGCATGCAACACCCCATTACAGTTATTTTATGGCAATTCACATGCAAAGAATTTAAAATAAATTTGAAGTTGGCAAAGTAGGTGATAAAAATCAAAGAAGACAAACGGGGTTGTGATCTCATGCATGCACTACCACTACCATTATATATCTTACCTATTATATTAAGGATGCATTTGATTAGATTTTGCATGCATTCGTTTTTAAGTTTTGGTATCAATTTTTTATTATGCAATCAATATTATATATCTTTTTTATAAATCTATATTATTTTTTAATAATATATTATATATATACCAAATTTCTATTTACATAAAAAAAAAAAAAAATCAAACTCCAAAAAAATTTATTATAAACAGTGACGGAACTAGCCTCTAAATTTCGGAGAGAGAAGGACAAAATAAGAATTTATTTTTATCAATTCAATATTTTTTTAAAGCACCGGGTAAAGAAAAAAAATGAACAAAAATAATATTTTTAGAAACTGAAATTTTTTTAACATAATTATACAAATTTTATTATTTTTTATTATAAAATATTAAATATTGAAAGGCAATCAATAAAATTATCTATTTTTTTTATTTTTTATACAAAATAAAATAAAAATAAAAATAAAAACAAATTATTAAAATATATAATTTAATTATTTTTATTTTGTTCTTCTTGAATTTTATTTTATTTTATATAATTCAAATTATTGTTTT